CATGTTGCATTCAATTAAAATCATGTGTTGCCATCTGAACCGCCTGAAAGTGAGATATGGATCACAATGAATAATGACAGCTTATCAATCTTTAACAAATTCACACTGAAACATTGAAAGGATAAAGACAAGTTAGTTGTTTTCTGTTTCAGCATGTTCAGGGTTTGTGGGGAGGTTCACAGACATCCTCAGGGAGGATACCAAGTATTGAGTGGGTATTTGTGTTTGTGATAAATACAAACTACATGTATTCATCATGGTATATTTCAATGCAATGTGAAACATCACACTCACAATAGTCCAGCTCTGTGATGGCAGCCTGTAAATAATTGAACATGGACCAGGCAATCTAGTGATTGTTATTATCAGCAATGATCCATGCCCTCAGAGTATGATGACAACCTAGTCTGACCACCCAATTCATTAGTTGATTAGTGTTTGCAGCGGTAGGAACTAACTCTTTCAGTCCACTAGTCCTAAAATGATAGCATATAGCAAAACCTTTAAAATGTCAAAATGACTAGTGCCAATTTCTAACCCTCGTGTTTGGATGTTGTGTTTGTGTGTGTATGTATGAGTGTATTTAGGTTGGTTTGTTGTTTAACGCCGCACTCAGCAATATTCCGGCTATATGACGGCGGTCTGTAAATAATCGAGTCTGGACCAGACTACCCAGTGATTGATATCATGAGCATCGAGCCACAGAATTGAGATCAATGACATGCATCAACCAAGTCAGCGAGCCTGACCACCCGATCCCGTTAGTCGCCTTTTACGACAAGCATAATGGCCTTTTACGGCAAGCATGGGTTGCTGAAGACCTATTCTACCCCGGAATCTTCACAGGTCGAGTGTATTTAACTTAAATCATGAATCTTATGCTTGTTTCTCCGTGCTTTTACAATGTAACCCAAATTTTCTCGGGGATAATAAAGTATTCTCTTATTTATATCATTTCTGAACAAAGTGTCATATCAAGGTTAGATCTCTGTCAAAACAGTGCCATGAAAAAGCCAAACAAATAGCCTAGAAATAAAAGTAAATACTGCATTGCATTAATCTGCATTTCAAGAAAATTTGGCAATAATTCATGGAATGATATTCACCTCGAACAAGCTATTTCCTATGTAATGTATGTGTTGAATGACCCTGACTTTGTTGTCAAAATATTGTTTTGACATTTGTTAAATTTTGGGATAAATGTCATCTCTGAATGTTTGACATGAATTATTATGATTAGGGTAGTTCTAAGTCGGAATCACAACCGGGGTCTTTTCATTTGAATCAAATGTACAACATGTACAGTTTGGACATTTTTCTGTGATGTGAATGCTACTTATGTTTGTAGAATGTCCGGATGAATAAAAGAGACAGTCATCTGTGCAGCATCAATGCAAAGAAAGACCATAGAAGAGCAACAGTGAGTAGTAAATATTTTGAAATTATTCTGTTTGGTTCATAGGGTTATTTTGCAAATATGTCTTCATTTTTTTCCCTATCGCTGTGGGCACGGATGTCCTATTATCTAAGGCACTACGATTTTCTGTGCAGAGTTGCATCTCTTGGGCTTAGCAGAAACCTATAGTCATGGGTTCAAATCCTGGTTCTCCCCGATTATGTTGCTAGGTTTGTCAGCATTATACACATGCTCGTGGGATTCATCAAAGACCTGCATCACTTAGGGCTTTCTTCCCACATCAAGCTAACATGTGGTGATATATCTGGAATACTGTTCAAAGCAGTGTTAAAGCCAACTCATTTATTTAACACTGCATCCAGCAATAGTTTGGCTATATGACAAGGATTGTAAATATATATTTTTCCATGTTGATGAGTTGAAACAATCACTAAATGACATCTCTTAAAAAGATTCCCAGCATTCCAAGCCTAATTAATAGATAAGGTAGTGATTGAGTAGGCTCATTGATCGCATGTAATCATACCACAGTGATGTGGGATATTGTCCTGATAGTTATCATTGGTTTGTCTGGACCGAGTTCATAACATTAGTCACTGGTTTGTCTGGTTGAGATTTGAGATGTGATTATCTTAAATGTTTAGCATATAACAAGACTCACATATGACAACTTAAGTGATTTTGCTGCCTTCTATCTGTAAGTACATGTGGCAACAATTCTTTTTGATTGCTAAAATCTTTTTACATAATGCTGCAGAAACTGAAGTCCTGCTTGAGATCCCTGGATGAGTACTCCAGGTTGACAGTCTGGAATGACGAGACAAGGGAGTCCTAAACAGAGGCTGCACCCCTTCAGATATCCGAGGTGATTTGCAGACAGCGATGACGAGGGTCCTGTTATTTCAATGGAGGCCGACCGAGAAGTTGTATGCCAAATGGTACTGGGACACACAAAGGCTGGTCTGGCTAATGTGAGAAGACCAACCAATGCCAAGCTGGAGTGGAATTCTTCCAGGACATTCAGGAAATTCTTGTCTTGAGCCATATGGTAAACACTTGAAAGAAATGATAAATGGGACTTATTGTTTTTAAATGTGGACCCAAACACCAAATGGAAAGTTCACAATTCTACTAACACAATGCAGCAGAGATAGAGTCTAACTGGTATCCCCTCATCCTGGTTCCTGTTCATCCATGGCAATATAGAAAGAAAAGGAGGATTGTCAAGCGAACAGTTATCACACTCTGTTATGAGTATTGAAGAATAGGATGAAATTGCATACTGCATCAGGAACCATCATGTGAACACTGTTCAATGTGCAATATACTATAGGCATATGAATAAAAGAAATTGATAATTTGATTGTTGCTTATGTTTCATTTGCCAGCTGTGTAAATGGGGATGTTTCATGATTTTGCCTCAGTTTAATAGCCACACTTATCTTATGAAACCATGCATTGCTTGGACATCTCAAGATAAATAACACATGTTTCCTTTGCTCTGAAAACGTCTGATGACACATTGATCTGTTATGTCAAAGGTCAAAGTCACAACCAGACAAAAAGTGTGTTTGTGGTCTAACTCTTCCTTTGGACAGGGGTCGAAGTTGGAAAAAGGTCGTGTGTGATCTATATATACTACATTTTCCCCTAAATTGCCTTTTCTGCAGAAGTCTTAGTAACTCAGAGGTTACTCTTATACATATACTGGTTACATTACTTCCATATTTTGGTCAATGATATGTTGAATTCTACCAAAGGACTGCATATTTGGTTTATGTGCTGGATAGCTCTTTGAAATGTTTTTGAAATATTTATCACTGATATTGAAGGTCAAATTCACAGTCAAAAGGGATAACTCTTGAAGGGTTGAAGTGTAAGATCAAGGCAATAGTGAAGGGGTCATTCATAAAGTATTTCTGCAATTATAACTAAAATGCCTATTTCTGGAGATATTTGTGAAGTATTAAGCACATAGTTGTTATGTTATTTGAATACACATATATGTGCAGTGGTTACAACTCCAGTGTCAAATTAACTCTCAATTCTTTTAATAAAAGAATTCACAGTAACTGAGGAAGAGCTTACTGTAGTACCATAAAACTAGGGTAAGGCAAATTTCAATGAAGTTAGTATTTTGGATATAACAAGTACATGTACCGTTACAAATAGTCTTATTATCATCTCACTAGGACTAAAGGCCCAAGTGAGCACATTGTCAATGACTTTTTCTTTTTCTCAGTACAAACTGGAAGTCTGGACATGAAATTTAAGGATATCATTATACGAGAACTGATGTTTGTTCATTAAATAGCATTAACATCTGAAAAGGACAATATATGAAATTGAACAATTGTCTTCTCCAAAAATGTTTTAGGAGTATATTTACCATTAAAGTAACCCAGAATATTACAACAGCTACCTGTAATGCACAGGCTAACATTTTTTACCAGAAGCAAGTCATGAAGAAAATTTGCATCCGGATACCTTCCGGAAACCTTCCAGATGCCTTCAGCAACCTTCAAATTGCTTGGTATTTTCAAGTTAATTTTTTTATGTGTTTCACACTTAAGTGAACAAAATGCACCCCCAAATTTTGACATTTTTTGGGGAAGGTTTCCGGAAGGTATCCGGGCCGGATCCAAAATGGGTAGGTATCCGGAAGGTTTCCGGAAGACGGAAACCTACACTTTTTTTGCTGTGTATGTTGACATTTTAGATTCCTGAATAGCTGAAGGCAAACTGTTGCCTAATGTAGGTACAGAGTGAAATGAAACAGTGAACCGTTTTCGAGTTTTGTTTGTTTGTTTGTTGCGTAACACCGCACTCAGCAATATTCCAGCTATATGACGGCGGTCTGTAAATCTGGACCAGCCAATCCAGTCATTGATCTGAGCATCGATCTCCGTTACGCAATTGGGATACGATGATATTCATCAACCAAGTCAGCGAGCCTGACCACCCGTTCCCGTTTTGTCGCCTGTTTGGCCAAGCATGGGTTGCTTTAGGCCTATTCGAACCAGGATATTCACGGGTTTTACAAGTTATGTTCCGTAAATAAACTCTACCTTCGAACGAAGTCGAGCTTTTTAAAAAAATAATTTAAGGCAGTGGGAATCACAGCTCTTTGGAAAGTGGTGTGTGTGCACCTAAAATTAACAAAAACAAAATGAATACAGATGATTCATTCGGGAAACATCTTTCTGTATAAATTTGTCACATAATGGTCACATTTGTTGTGCCATGTCACACGATGTTTCAGTTCTATGTCTTCCCGTATACATTGGCACACAAAATACAACAGGCGAACCTAGATGCCAAACGCCACACCCAGCAATACTCATGGCCTGAGACATCGGTATGTACTAGTAAATAAAAGGAACAAAAACCTGTTTCATAATAATGAGTGTGTGAGTACGGTTTTACGCCGCTTTTAGCAATATTCCAGCAATATCACGGCGGGGGACACCAGACACCCATGTCAAGAATCGAACCCGGGTCTTCGGCGTGACGAGCGAACGCTTTAAACACTAGGCTACCCGACCGCCCTCATAATTATGATAAATATCTGCCAAAAGCAGAATCGATTGTACGAGTCCATGAATCGTGTGGTGTGCTCTCTGAATTATTAACAATTCAGAACAAGTAGCATTTGTCATCTGTATCCTTATCTGTGGCTGGCAATTATAGTTAGCTTGTGTCACTTGTCTGCATGCACGTCCACAGTCGCTATGAAGATAATGTGCCATGTGTCTTGTGTTTTAGGTGTGATGATGCTACAGTTATTCGTAAAAGGTGAGTGTAAATTTAAGTTGGTTTGTTTCTTGTTTTACGCCACACCCAGCAATATTCCAACCATATGATGGCGGTCTGTAAATAAGCGAGTCTGGACCAGAGAATACATTGATTTATATCATGAGCATCGATCCTCGCAATTGGGATCGATGACATGCATCAACCAAGTCAGCGAGCCTCACCATCCGATCCCGTTAGTCGCCTTTACGACAAACATAGTTGCCTTTACCGGGTCAAGCATTGGTTGCTGAGGACCTATTCTACCCCGGATCTTCACTGATACAGTGTTCCGAAGAAGAACTATGTTGAAATACAACTAGATTTTAAACCATTAGCTCTTCGTCTCCATAAAAATTCAATGAAAAAATACTGTACAGTGTTGACACCTGACAGTTTCAGGAATGATCCTGTGCAACTATTTTCAGTTTTATATGAAATGCTATTGGATATGAAAGCATTCGTAAGTCCTCTGCAAACCCCCATACGTAAATGGCTTGATAACAAACAGTAAAAGAAGAGGAATAAAAGCTGAGAAATATTTCCGTGCACACCCTAAATGTTGCGAAATCACAAAGCCAAGTTGAGACATACCTGACCTGTGCTCATTTTGTGACGACCGCCTCCGTGGTCTAGAGGTAGAGTGTCCGCCTGGAGAGCGGAAGGTCCGGTGTTCCATCCCCGACCGTGTCATACCAAAAGACGTTAAAAGATGGTACTTGTTGTTACCCTGTCTGGCGCTTGGCATTAAGGGGCTCGGAGTCAGTATACTGTGTCTGAGTGGGGTCTTCATGTTAAACTGCGGCATGGTATCTTAGTGTGCTAGCACAATAAATCAGCATCAGCCCAGACTAGTAGAAACAGCCACACACACATGTGCATGCTCGTCACCATATAAGTGCAATAATCTTGGACGCAACGTTAAACCCAATTTCACCTAACCTGATTTTGTGAAACTGATACTGAATCCTTACTTCATGTATATTGGGATTGTGAGCATGTTAAAGAGTTTTGGGCTAAAGTTAAACGTTTTCTGATTGCAAAATGTTCAAAACAATTTACATTTACCAAATGCTCTGTTTTTCTTGGGTACAAATCTAACATTGTGTTAACCACATCATAGTGTCATGCAAAACAATATATACACTTTTCTAGTATTAGGAAAAATAAATTGTATCTTGAAAGGTTTATATTATTATATATTTCGGATAGAGAAACCAATTGCACAACAACAAAAAATACAATAAGACAATTTGAAAGAAAATGGAAAAGAAATGGCAAATGAATTGTCTAGTTAATACGTCTCTATTTTTTTAACACGAACAATTTCATATAATGTCATGTAAGGATTTAGCTTCATAGTTAATAAACATGGCAAATGTAGCCTGCCCGTTTCACCATTTGTAAACATTGTTGGACACATGTAGCCAACTTAAACTTGCTGACTTGCTGTCTGATGTATAGGTATGTAACCTACACGTAATAAGTATACCACATGACGTGCTACTCTATGTATAACTATGTAATATCATGTACTGAATTGAATAAACAAGGTCGAGACGTTCATGTAACAAAATAAACGTCAATCCAAAAAAACTATGTATCTAAGATCATTTCCCGCACGCCCGTGTCCAAGGTGTGGAGCATGCTTCAATAGATCGAGGGGAAAGGATTCAAATCTGGTGTTCACCATCTCAAAGATGGTAATACACATTTAACAACTTCATCCGAAATTGCCAACAAACTTGGCGACACTTTGGGGGCAAACCGTTCCTCATCATCAAACTAAGATCCTCAATTTCAGAGGTTTCAAAAACAGCAGGAAAAGAAAAAAAGTCAATTTTAACTGATCCCTCCACATATATCTTCTTACTGTATGATGGACGCTCTGGAAACTGATATGAGGTTATTAAAAATTGGTTGTATAATTTGATATCGTTTGACGTCTTTAAAATGTTCACGACTGATTGTTTTGTTCACCTAAATTTGTGAGAATTGATCCTCCTGATGAGGCCGTAAGAGGCGACTAACGGGATCGGGTGGCGTTGACGTGTTCCATGCATGTCATTGATCCCAAATGAGTGGATCGATTCACATGATGTCAATCACTGGATTGTCTGATCAAGACTGACCGCCGCCATATAGCTGGAATATTGCTGAGTGCGGCGTTAAACAACAAATAAACAAACAAACAACGTAGGCCGAGATGACACCTCTCAGGGAGTTGAACCAAATAATTTGGAATATATTTTTTTACAACAGGGTACAATATTCAAGGCCTCAGTAAAGCTTTCAAAAAAAATTAGGGTAGACATGGAGAGATCAATTCCGTATTTCGACTTGTACCATATGTTCTCGTAGGGGTTATTTCAGCTGAACAATTGACTTGCCTTTGCATGTGTTTGTGACGGGTGGAACCAGTGGGGCATGATGCGCTCACCTTTTTGCAAACACGGGGTATGATCGCTATTCATAGTGATTCCTAAACCTGGCTCTTGATAAAGTCGGAATCGTACAAGCGACTCTGATTTTAGCTGAGATTTCTTGTGGCAATGTGAATCGATTTTTTGCTTTTATTTACAGCTAGGGAGACCGATATGGCCACATTTGCAAGAATTTAAAAACAACGTAAGACCTAACATGAGCACCTCGACCATAATGGAAAATACAATGTTCGGTTCTATATTTACAGGATTGTGCTATTCCTTTGAAATTGCTGGAATGTGCTTCTGGTTCTCTACACAGAAGAAACCATTCCACAGGGCGGAGGAAGCCTGCAAATATAGGAATGGAAAGTTGGTCCAGCTTGACGACCAGGAGGTGTTCGAGATGATCACGGAAAGGTTCTCATGACCAAGCATCAATTCTGGGTTGGTCTGACCTTAGATAGGGTGGGAAGACAGGGTAAGTGCATTTCATTGTATATATATATTCAAGCTATGTGACGGCGGTCTGTAAATAATGGAGTCTGGACCAGACAATCAAGTGATGACATCATGAACATCGATCCACGCAGTTGGGATACTATGACAAGCATCAACCAAGTCAGTAAGCCTGACCACCCGACCCCCTTAGTCGCATCTTTCGACAAGCGTAGTCGCCTTTTACGGCAAGCATGGGTGTCCGAAGACCTATTCTACCCCGGATCTTCACGGGTCTACATTCTTTAGAAGTTGAAAAGCACGGGCCAATAAATCAGGGGCAAAACTCAGTCCCCATAGCGATTCGAATTTAGAATCGGTTCCCAAGCAACATTCTAGCTGTAAGAGGTCATTAATTGAATCCGGGGTCATGATTGATGACTTCGTTGACTGGGTGTTATCATTCTCGACGGGTACATAGTATATGAATATGTAGGCATTCAGTTATCAAGTTTAGGATCAAGGAATATTGCACAAAGGATTTTAGCGCTGCAGGGCTAAAACGTTAATGTAATATTGTAAGCTGGAATCAACTTCCTGTTCAGGTTTTACGACCTTATTTTGACTAAAAATACTTCCTATTTTGATGTACCATGCAGATACATGTAGATTTCCGTCATCACCAAATATCATGCTTGCACAGGAAATAAATCGTAAGGAAGATTATCTACAAACCAGTTACCAAGAACGGCAGTTGTTGCTCTTGCTTCGCCATGTTCGTCCCATGGGGGACGCTATATCATGCCTCAAGTAGTGGATTCGTTTATTTTTTTGTTTGTTGTTTAACGCCGCACATTGGCACAGTAAACAAATGTAAAAATGTAGAAAGTGAAACTATTTTGTCTATAAAGTCGGCCTCTGTCACAGTAAACAAATGCAATAATGTAGAAAGTGAAACCATTTTGTCTATAAAGTCGGCCTCCGTCACAGTAAACAAATGCAATGATGTAGAAAGTGAAACCATTTTGTCTATAAAGTCGGCCTCCGTCACAGTAAACAAATGCAATAATGTAGAAAGTGAAACCATTTTGTCTATAAAGTCGGCCTCCGTCACAGTAAAAAAATGCAATAATGTAGAAAGTGAAACTATCTAATCTATAAAGTCAGCCTCCGTCAACCATTCAAAATATAAAATCCAATCAACTAAAGTCAAGAAGAAGTATTTGGACTAGGGTTACCAGATGATCATGTATGTTAACTAATAAACTAGACTGGCAATTATTGTAGCTTAACGAGAATGATTTAGTCACTTTGTATTATGCATCAGGTTTGTTCTTAGAGAGAATCGGGTAGCCAGCCTCGCTGACTTGGTTGATGCATGACATTAATCCCATTTGTGTGGATCGATTCTCATAATATTAATCACTGGATTGTTTTGACCAGACTCGATTATTTACAGACCGCCTTCATAGGGCTGGAATATTGCTGAGCGGGGCGTTAAACAACAAACAAACAAACAAACATCCAATGATGTAAACACGCCTTCGTCCAATTTTACATCTAGCGTCTCTACATGGCCGGACAGTTACGACAGATGTATTAGAGTGAGTGAGTGAGTTAAACTTAAACGTCGCATTAGCATTATTTCAGCCATATAGCGACGAGACCAAGTTGATATTAAACAGAGAAGGATGAGATGAAACGGGACATTCGAATTTTACTTCTGAGTGCCTGCCGGAAGAAACCTACTTCCGGTGCTTCGAGGGGAAAACGCCAGATCTACTTTAGCATCCGTCATTGTGAGTAACCCGTCAGCAAACCGACAGTGAGACGAACCTGACATGATTACAGCATGCTTAATCGGTTAAATAGTGAATGAATAATAAGTTTCACATTAAAGGCATATCATCACTGTACATGGATCCTTGACCCGTGAAGATTCCGGGAAAGAATAGGTCTTCAGCAACCCATGCTTGCCGTAAAAGGTGACAATGCTTGTCGTAAAAGGCGACTAACGGGATCGGGTGGTCTGGCTCGCTGACTTGGTTGATGCATGTCATCGATCCCAATTGTGTGGATCGAGGCACATGATATCAATCAAAGGATTGTCTGGTCCAGACTCGATTATTTACAGACCGCCGTCATATAGCTGTAATATTGCTGAGTGCGGCGTTAAACAACAAACCAACCAACCAACCAACCTTATACCAATGCATCCTTTCAGCTTTCAGATGGGGCAACAACGCTACGACCAACAAAACAAACTGGCTACCCAAAGAGCCGAATTAAACTGGTGGCTGTGTGCGCCTGTGTCGAATATATGGAGAAAGGCAATTCGAAAGACATGGTTTGGCCGATCAATCATGTGGAACAAAATACCATTTCATTTGCCAGAAACGGTATGAATTTGGTAAGCAGGACATTTACAGCATTCCTCGTCATCTTGAACAGCATCTGTGTCGTGACAGTCGACAAACTGTGACTGGTTTGGCAGTGATCACATTTGATTTGAGATAATAATCATGATGTTTAATCACTGGATTGTCTGGTCCAGTCATTGACCGGCATCATATAGCTGGACTATTGCTGAGTGTAGCGTTAAACAACAAACAAGTCAATAACCCAGGACTTAGAAAACATGTTCTTCTGGAATCACTTGAAAGACGTCGTATATGCATACATTCGGCGTGCGTGTGTATTCTAAAAATGTGTATACATGTCAATGGCTATAAGCTGTCCAGTACATCGTCATAAACGACATTCAACACGGTGCCGTAGTAGATTAAGTTTGGTTCTGCAAAATCCTCAACATAGACCTTTATCATCATTATAACACTGAATATTATGTATTAACTACATGTTAAAGAATTAAATAAAACACGTAAAAATTGAATAGATGTCAGTAGCATGCCAATGAAAGGACAAGGTCATTGGGGATATATATATGCTCAATGTAAGAGAATAACCAGTCTAGATAATACTCCGACACAGATTCCATTTGGCGTAAAGGGCAAAATAGCTGTGAACATTATTTGAGTGGAGACTATATTATTGATTGCCAGTTGCGTGTGCTGGTGTCTTGATTTGAAAATTACAAACTGGAACAGCTTATGAATCTCTCATTTCCTAAGCTGTATATTATAAATGTTGTTTTGAGCCATAAACGAAAATTGCAGATTGAAGATTGATATGCATTGTAGAAATTGAGTGACTTGTTATACCCCCGACCTAAAAGTGGGGAGGTGTACAGTTGAACTAATGAAATCCGTCCGTCCTCCCGTCCTTCTGAGGGCATTTTGTTGTGCGACCTAAAACTCAAAGCTATATATCTCCAATATAAAAATTGTTCCTTAGCTGATGTTGGAGTCGTGTTAGTCGTTTTAGTGACCTAGCTTCCCTTTTGTCTTGTTTCTTATTTGCCAATTAGTCCTCGTAACTATTCAGCAAGATTTTGAATTTCAATGATGTGGTCAAATATTTGGCTGCTTACCCTTTAAACTGTTGCCATCGGAAGGAGGGGATCTACTGCGGCATGGTTCTATTAGTATACTGTTGAAACACTACATTCACGGGCATCTGCTGGGTGATATGTTCTGTGGATAACATGGAGACAAATATTCTGTTTCATACCCATGATCGTAGATTTCACGAAACTGGTAAACATCTAATTATTTCATCATTTCGGGCGTTTTTCCACGTCATGCTGACACGCTGTGATGTTACTAATATAGTTGATAGAGACGTTGAACCAAACTCAGTCACCTTAAGTAGAATAGGTCATCAGCAACCCATGCTGGTCGTAAAAGGTTACCATGCGTGTCGTAAGAGACGACTAACGGGATCGGGTGGTCAGACTCGCGGACTTGCTTGACGCAGGTCATCGTATCCCAATTGTGTGGATCGATGTTCATGATGTCAATCACTGGATTGTCTGGTCCAGACTCGAATATTTACAGACCACCGTCATATATCTGGAATATTGCTGAGAGCGTCATTAAACAACAAACAAACAAAACAGTCTCCTCAATGTAAGTTTTGAACTATTTTAGGTGAGTTAAGCATCGCAAGGGGAACACAGCAAGCTGCCAATGGATCCCTTTACTGTCCCCTGGCGTCATTTCGTCTTGATGGTAGTCGACTGAAGTGCGCTGAAGCTAGCATCATGAAACCGAAATGTGTGGGGTTTGTCCACAACAAAACGATTTCTTCCTGCACGATGTTCACGATGTCTCAAAACTGTCCTGATAACAGGACAGGAATCGCAGTCACTGCCTTAGAACGACAGTGTTCCTGGAACGCAGAATCCTGACTGACACATGTATATATTGCACTGCAGGAGTAGTCCATCGATGTGGGTTGTGTTCGTATTAGATGGTGACTCTTTACTGGGAGAAACAATAAGAAACGTAACTGATCAATATATATTGTGTCAAATAATGTGTGTTTTAACTGTTGCTGAGCGATTTAAAAAAAATCCACAAGATATGGCACGTGTTGATGCTTAGATAGTGATAGAATTGGTTTTCAGCAAACAACGTTTGTCGAAAGAGGCGACTTACGGGATCGGGTGACTGGTCTTGGTTGATGCATTTCATGGTATGCAACCATCGTAGATCAACGCTCATGATACGAATCACTTACATGTCTGATTCAATTTCCAACATTTAGCATAGCAAAATTATTATTCACAGGTGGTTTAAGCAATACAGATTATACACAAAAGACTCGTTGATATTAATTACGCTTTATTATATGGCCGTGTATTTTATTGTTTGACATTGATTGCAACTGTGTTGCATTGTTTCTTTTGGAATTCTGTAGACGCTCGTTGCATTGTGTTTCGACAGTTATCTGTCGTCACGAAGTTACTATATTAAGATGCTAGCATGGTGTGAAAACTTCCGGTCCATTATACCACGGACGGTGATAGTATGTTACAGATACTTCATAAATTGTTCAGTGCCCATGGACTGGTGAAGGCACTTTACAGTGGCTGTGTAGGTTGCATTTTAGGGAACAAGAACGCGTTTACGATCTCTCACGCACTTTATCGCTTTGGAACCAGCTTCCATGTGAGGATCGCTCATCATCCCTGATTCCCCAGCCCATTACGGAAGCTTGACCTCTGTCGCCGCTGGGTGAATATATATTATTATTACTAACTTTTATTCTCACCACAGTATTTTTGTATCTGATACTGATCTCTGCCATCACAATATACTACCACTATATTGTGTAATGCCATTGTGATTGCTGTGCAGTAATTTGTATTGATTTGTAAACCTTGTTAATTTTTTTAAATATATTTCTTGATTGCGTGTTGTGTGTTTGTTGGTTTCACACTAGGTTATTTTAAGTACATATTTCTTTGTTAACATATGGTTTCAATTTTGGAACTTAACAGCTTTAAATATTAGATTTCGTAAAACCAACTTGTAAATATCCACGTTAGAATAAGTTTTAAGCAACCCCAGCTTGCCCTGAAAGGCGACCATGCTTGTCGTAAGAGGCAACTAATGGGATCAGGTGGTGAGACTCTGACTAATCGAGTGAATCAATGCTCATGATGTCAATCATTGGAATATTTACTGACTGACGTCATGTAGCTGGAATATTGCAGAGAACGGCGTTAAACAATAAGCAAACAAACGTAAAACCAATGATTTGAAGTTCATGTTTTGTTTGAAAAACAGAAACACTAAAACCGTTAGCAAAGTGTTCATAAAATGTATTGAGAGAACTGATTAATAACGTTTAAATGTCTCGGAGGGGAATTACATTGATGCATGATTTTTTAAAAAAAGATCATACTCATCTTTTTGTGTTTTTCACCTCCAACCTCAATAAGCAAAAGAGCGGACAGGCGACGTCATTGTTGTAACAAAAACTGCTTTACACGGACATATTAAAGTTGAAAAGTGAAGTATTGCACCATTGGGTGAGAGTGTGGGTTGGCATCCCGCATGGGTCTCGAGAAAAACAATACTAGAATTTGAAGTTTAGTATTGTAATTGAAATCCCAAACTTAACAAAATGTTACATTGCCACACCTTACAATGTCCTTGTATGTACATCAAACTAAATTACCTTCAGCCCATGCACAGGGACCGGGAAAGTCTTCTCATAAAGAGGCCATTTGAACACATGTTGATATTATTTGGTGAATTCAATGGGCTCAATATATACAGAACTAATGTAGATAAAAGGGACAAAATCCAAAGTGATATATTTCTATGACTATATAAATCAACCCACCATCCCCAGACACTACTCAAACCCTTTGCTAAAACACGATCACATAAAAGCAACACAACCCTTCATATCTTGTCAATAAAGCTCTGCCCGGAGCAGAGTCAAATGAACGATTCTGATTCTATCATGAGCCTGTGTCTGTGGATCACTATCAAATAGTGATGATACCAGGTGTGATCATCCGAAACAAACAGAGGGAGATATATGGCCCAGGTCAAAATATAATTGCATCGGACATCAAATCTTGAAATTTCCTCCACACGTCAACACGTTTTTGAAAGCTTTACTGAAGCCTGGAATGTTGTAACCTTGACCAAACAAGTATTCAGAAGGAGTCGTTTGATTTTGTTTGAAATTGTGTTGGAAAGACATTGCTCGATTGCACTTCCAAAGTTGGGATATGTTGGCACGAAAGATCTGCTGGAATAATGCTCGACATAAAGTTATCTTGTGGAGAGTTTTCTGTCACTCTGAACCGTTATGTCTGTATAGAGCTAAGTATGAAACAGACAATGCGGCCGACCTCATTGGTCTTCTTTATTTCTGGTTCACTTCAGTATATAAGTCGTGGGCATTGGTTGTTTGATGGCTATAAGACGTATAAGATCATTGATATACCTGAAGCTTAAGTTAAACTTCTTGATCAACGTACCCTGTTTTCAATATGACTCCGCAAATAACAGAAATATGAGAACAAAAGCTCATGAATATATGTATCTAAAATAAACGGTTACAGTCTTGAGTGGGCCATATCTTGATGCCTTGACGGTCGCCCGACAACTGGATGAGAAGGCAACTGGCTGTCATAGGGTGTCTCGGTTCACCATCGGTCTTCACTTCCGACTGTGGAGCAGCCTCAACGTACGTTTGATCAGCTGGACTATTCCTGCTTTTAGCAACCAGAGTCCTGGTGCATTAGGAAAAACGTTTTCCTCGTGGAATACTCTGCACCTTCACCAGCCTTCACATGATATGAGCGAGGTGTGTTGACATAACATCTGGTATCCAATTTTCTCCTTGTCTGACTCGTACATCATGCGTATTTGAGGCATTCCTTGGATGTGGTTACCTGTCATAGTAATGCATAGTAATGCCTTAGATTCAGTTTTAGAATCCACCAATACTTTCACAACTGATGATTGCTGGGTAAGTCAGTCCTGAGACGTCTTAATCCCTTGAAAGGTTGGTTGGTTGGTTGGTTTGTTGTTTAACGCCGCACTGAGCAATATTCCAGCTATATGACGGCGGTCTGTAAATAATCGAGTCTGGACCAGACAATCCAGTGATCAATATCATGAGCATCTATCCACGCAATTTGGATCGATGACATGCATGAACCAAGTCAGCCAGCCTGACCACCCAATCCCGTTAGTCGCCTTTTACGACAAGCATTGTCACCTTTTACGGCAAGCATGGGTTGCTGAAGACCTATTCTACCCCGGAATCTTTACGGGGCCCCTTGAAAGGAGAAGATCCAATGTCACTTAATGGATCTTTGTGCACTGAATGGATCTTTGT